TTGATAGTTAATATCTGACTATTTATAATTATTAATATTTATAATTTAAAATATCTAATTTGTTTGATTAAAACCAACAATTGATAACTATTTTTGAAAGGTCAAAACAAATGCCCTTACTTCTTTTAGCATACACTAGGTTCAACGGGAGGGAAAGAATGTAAATATTTTATATTAACAAAAATTATAATTTAATTAGTTAAAATCATCTCTTTACTCGCATTCTTTTCTTTTTTTAAAACCAAACACACTCTTAATATTTCTTATTTTCTAGGATTAATTTTACAGTACTTTTTTTCTGTAGCAATAACCAGAGGACCGCCCGACAATTCCAAACAAATTCAATATGTCGGATCTTTTTACTTTAACAAAACCCTTCAAAAGTAATTATTTGTCACCATTTCCCAATTTAATTTGCAACTATATCTTGTACGATGACCAAAAAAAAAAGGAAAAATTAATATACACAATTAATTACACAAAATTACACAAATTAACCATTTTTTACACAATTCAATTACACAAAATTAATAAATAGCAACTAAGCAGTACCCATTCAAAACTCATTTTCATTACTCAGATATTTTCATGTAAATTCATGATTATAATCTCCCTAGTGTACATGACTAGTTGAAAATATCAAAATATCAAAAGCATGCTAAAAGTCTACAAATACATAAGGTTATGCAGCAGATCTAAGATCTGAGAATAATAAATAGTAGGAGAGAAATGTGATTTACCTAAATAAGACTGGAAAGTTGCGACCACAATCCGATCCCTTACTCTATCTTGCTCATCATGACTTACATCTTGGAAAAATCAACAACCAAAGATGTTAGAATGAGGACGGTTTTCATTGGGACTGAGACTGGGAGGCTGAGATAAATGGAAGGACTGAGATTGACGAGATCTCGGTAGAAGGAAGAGGCCTCTCTTTTTATTTTAAACAAAGTCAGTTTATTTCTACCAGGTCTGTTGACTTGCGTTTACTTCTTACAAAGCACGTGCACTTCAGACTCTCTTTTTTTTATTTATTTATTTGGAAAATAGGCAATGGTTCAGACAGTGATGGTAATTTGCCGATCCCCGCGGGATCTCCGTCACGGAGACGTGGGGTATTTTTTCCTCGAAATTTTTTTTCACCTTGTAAGGTCCCGTATAATCCTTATTCATGTGAAAAATAAAAAAAAATGTAAATTAATTTTATTTTAAATTTAATTTAATTTTTAAATTTTAATTTAATTCAATAAAAATTAAATTTAAATCACATAACATATTAATGAATTTAATTAAAGAATAAAAAATTATTTT